CACATCCCGTCCCCCACCAGTACTGCTGGGAGTGGTCACTGAGCATGCAACCAAGCACAAACTCTGAGCAAAATTAAATATCCTCCCCCACCTCCAAAAACCTTCACAAGCTAATAAAACTAAAATGGATGTGCAAATCCCAATTTTATTTCATTCAACTATTAGAAAGCACACAGTTCAGATCTACATAGATTAGGTCTGGGTCCTGGCGTATCCACTTGTTCTCAAAATATTTTTTTTACTCTGGTAGCAAAATATCAAAAGTTTAACCGAGATTGATTTACATTTTTTCTTCAAAAATCAAATGCTTTGCCTAGATTATAAGACATAATAATCTAGTCAAAAACTAGATCCATGTAGCCAACTGAATATATTTGATAGTGTTTCACCTAGATCTAGATTGATTGCTGAGAAATCCCAACTTGCACATTGGCCAAAGTTCTAAACCACAAAGAACCCACAAGTCCTATGTTTACTCTTTGGACACCCACTTATTCTTTTCTTTATCCATCTGAAATATTTGACTAGAACATTCATATATCCCTGTAACATATTCTATTCATAGGGAACTGATGATTTTTCAAATAGTATGTCTTCATTAATCTTCTAAGTTAGATATGGATAGTAATTGTGGCTGGTCTTGGCCCTACCAAGGGGACTGAACAGTAATGGAAGAATCACCTCATAGGTTTTCATATGCTTTCTAATTTTTGCACTGAGAAATAATGCCAGTATTGTAAATAAGACCTTTCTAATATATTTCAATGAGAAATGTTGGGAGAAATCTTATTTTATGTTTCATAGTATCATAGGTGTCTATCATGTTCAATTCAGTTTTATTTTCTCCCTAATATTTGTTCTCTAAAGGCCTTCCACTCTGTTGAAAAGCATACTATGATTACTTGTAACTAGCTCTCTAAATAACTGAGTTTGTCTTTAGTTCTATTCCACCTAGGTTTTTGACTCTAGAAGCAAAAGACGGATACTGCATTAGAATCTGGTCCCCTGACTACTGCCTGTTCCTAAATTTTGTTACACTGTAGAAGATATAAGATAAAACATCCCTAAAACTGATTTAACTGGACATAGCCTATTCCTCTAAAACAGTGAGAGGTGATAAAATTCTAACACACACACACACACACACACACACACAACACACACACAAAAAACTTTCTCAGTTGTTATTCAACTTTCTTTTCCCTAGAGAGAACTTTTGCTCTTAAAATGAGATTCTTCAAATCACAGTTTACTTACTACATTCAAATATTTCTCATTTTCTGGCATTAAAAAGATCACTCAAAGATAACCACCTTTTTTGAAGTGGGGGAAGCGAAATATAGATATGGGAATTTGGAAATGGGAATTTGGATATGGGAAGCGGCAGGGAGGAATGAAGAGAAGTGGAGAACACAGAGGAGGGGAAGAAGGAAAGGAATAAATAAATGGGATTTTATTCTGTACTCTGGCCTTTGAAGATCTTATTAGGTATGGGAATCTTCATTTTCTATATCTGTTATAAACTAATTAGTACAGTTATAAGCAGAAGGAGAGAAGAACAGAGAAGAATACTTATTAAATTTGTGTTTTGACCTTATAAATAAAAATGAGGATTTCTTGAGCTAGTTTATTTGTCCTACTTCACTAAAATGAAACTAGTTCTGTCTTTCCTCTGTGCCATGTCTTGCATCACATTTGTTGTTTCTTAGATTTGTTTCAAAGGAAAATACTACCTGTAGAGAATCCTCTGAGGCAGTCAGAGGAGAAAACTTTTAACAGCTGTCTGGACCCTTGCCAAGGGGGGCAAAGTTCTCTTATTGGATAAAACCCATTTTTCTCCTCTTATCCATTGCTTCCCCCTGCACTACTAAAGGCCTTAGACAAACAAGTAGCTCTGCCAAGCATAACATGATCACACCTAGCGGCTGTAGGCGCTGAACCCCAGGGCCGCGCTATTGGATTTACCCTTTCATCTCAGGGTTTCTCCTCTCCACTCTTGTGCTGCTGTTGCTTCTAGCAAGCTACTGACTTTTTCAAGTTTGGAAATAGCTTCCTTTGGGTTCTTTTGTCTCCAAAATTTAACTGCCGTGTTAAAAGAGATTTTCCAAACAGTAGGTGGAGATGCCATAAAGCGCCTAGATTTATTTCCTGCAGCCAGAGAAGATGGAGTAGAAGTGAGGCATTGGAAAGAGCAAGGCAGGAATGAATGATCTTCTAGGAATATTGTGGAGTATTGTGTCCCAACAAGCAGATCCTAAAGTCCATACATGTAGAGGAAAAGCCACCAGATGTTTAATACCTGGGCATACGGGGCAATAGAAAAGGTTCCTAGGAGTTTTTTGAAAGGAAATAAGTGAATATGAGAATTTAATTTAGCTCTAGCATTAGCATTTTCTATATTTTCTTTACATTTCTTTCTTTTATTTTTTTTTTTGTAAATTCTGCCTTCACCTGCAGTGTTATAAGACACCTCAAGTTATTTTTAGATATGTGGATATGCAGCTACGTGTTATCAAAGGAAAAATCTTACTCTTTTGAATGTGCTAGAATGACAATATCTGGTTTAAAATGTACTGTCTCAAGCCTCGGGGAGCAAGTCTGCCAAATCACCTTTATTAGTGAAACATAAAGGAGACCGAAAACTGCGAGGTCACTCACAGTAACCAGGAGGACAAAGGTCATCTGAATACCAGCAGCATGCCATGGGGGATAGCACCATATGGGGAAAGCACTTTCAGGAAGATCGCTGTGGAATAGTCAATGGCACTGAGGTTTCTCTTCTCTAAATTTTATGTAATAGTGAGGAAAATTGTGCTTGCTTCTTCAAGGATATTGTCGTATCTCAGTTGACCTCAACTTTCTTACACTAAAGTTCTATTATTTAGGAGTCAGAATGATAGTGGAGTGGGAAGGGCTTTTGCCTTCATGTAGCCAACCTGGGTTCATTCCCTAGCACCCCATAAGGTCCCCTGAGTCGGCCAGAAGTGAACCCTGAGTGCAGAACCAGGAGTAAGCCCTTGGTCCAACCAGCTTTGGTTCCCCCCAAAATAAAAGAAAATGTCAAGTCTTTAGAAAAAAATCTATAATACCCCATTATGTGAATGCCATAACATATTTATTTTTGAAACTTTGCTACTGTATAGCTAGTGATACAAAATTATATATATATGCAAAATTATATATAGGCATATGTATACACATATATGCATGTAGAGAGAAAGAATGATAAAGTTAGGTAGATCTAGACTGCTATACTCTATCTCTCTCTCTCTCTATTTCTTTCTCTCTATCAATTGGGAGGGTTAGTTTTCAAAAAGGTGACCCAGGAAAAAATTTGCCTTTGCTTTGATTTTAATACTATCCCAAACAGATTGCACTGCAGACATTCTTAGTTATAAGCCTATTATGAATGGCCTTTGTCTGAGTTTCCAACATGCAGCCTATAATTGGACAGAAGCTTTTTATCATTTGAGCTCCATATCCATTTTTGAGTCGCTGCTTAATCTGTTTAATGTAGGGTTCCTTTCATTATTGAATTACTAGACCCCACTTGACTGAAACTAAGTTTTAGAAACACCACTTGAAGACACAGTCTTAGACCTTAAAAAAGACCAACATTCAGTTTAGAACATACCATTTTCAACCTCTTTATTGCAGACCTGGAAACATAAATATAAGATCTTCTTAAGACAAGAATTGTAACATTTTTATGAATTATAAGGACTTTCTCATTTATTGATTCTCGAAAATCATGAGCTTATTTTTGTAGTGTATATTTTACTTGCCTCTAATTTATTGGAATTATGATTGTACTGGTGTAATACGTGAGATATTTGACTCCAGTGTTCAGTATATTTAGTGCTGGAGTCATCTGTCTCAGGAAATAACCCGTTTGAGTTACTGAGGATAATTTTGGACCCTTGATGGGGTTCTAGTGAGTGCCTGGTATAAACAGTTCAAATTAGTGGAGATTGTTTCCCATTTGTCTAAACACTAAAACAGAAAAAAACAAACACATTTCTTCCATATTTCTTTAATATTTCCTATTTTATTTCTTATGCCTGAATCATAGAGTCAAAGTTTTCTATTGCAAAAGAATGTGTGTACTTATCTATTAAGAATTAAAATATAAGAAGTGTGGTGACAGATTGTTCTTTTTAAGTTCAGCTTTTAAAAAACAGTATATTTTATGATAAACTGTATTTATTATTTGTCATGAGGCTGTTTTTTTTAAGTCAAATTATAAAGTAATTCCCTTGTTTATTCACGATCTTTAGGTAAAAGAACATCAAATTTGTTGTTAGTCTGGACTTCTTACTTTTACCACCAGGGGGCAGGTTATGCTAACACTTGAATTACTGGACACTGGCAGGCATAGGAAGCACTTCTAGGCAGAAGTCAAAATTTCACAAGGATATTTCCACAGGTTCTTTAGGAGAAGATCTGTTGGCATACTCACAGTTAATTTTTACACCACTCCCAAAATTAAATAACTATAATATCAAGCTAGTAAAGTTCTCTTGCAAGTAATTTTACTCTTGTAAATTTTACTCTTGTAAAATCTTGTTTTGATGTTCCATTCTATTATCAATCACGTGGTTTTAACTTAAAACTGAAACTTAAGTAAAAAGAACATGAAAAGAATGGTTTTTCATGTCTCCATGTTAACAGATTTCATAATTATTTCAACACTAATTTCTTGTGTATTCATAAGAAATTAAGGTCTTCAAGAAAAGAGCTTGCTGTGGAAACTTTTGAAAATAAAGATATATAGATACACTGATATACTTTAGAATATTTTTGACAGAAAGGAGATTAGAATACATTGAAGTAAAAAGGGTTTATTTACTAGCACAAAAATTTCATTTTGATGCTATTATTTATTTCTTTAATAAAGTGAATGAGAAGTCTGTAAAAGTTTATTAGAAGTGAGTGTAAGTAATCTACTCTGCTATAGAAGTACGAACCATGTCCTGTATTCCCCTTCCATTTCTTTTCAGTGTCCAAGTAAAACTTATGACCCACTAATTAAATCCACTCGAGACTTTCCGGATGATGTCATAAGTTTCATAAAGCGGCATCCGGTGATGTTTAAATCCGTGTACCCAGTGGCAGGAGGACCTACGTTCAAAAGAATCAATGTGGATTACAAACTGACACAGATTGTGGTGGACCATGTGATCGCAGAAGATGGCCAGTACGATGTGATGTTTCTTGGAACAGGTATGCCAGAAACAGATTGTGCTTTTATTGAAAAGTTTTATTGTTAGACAAAGAAACTACAAACAAGTAAATTGATTGAAAAATATACAATTGTTGGCGAAAACCTAAAAATTTCTTAAAAGGTCTTAACAGATGTTCTTGGTTAGGTAAAGGTAAAGGTAAAGGTAAAGGCCCTCCCGTTGATCGTCGATTTGCTCGAGCGGGCCCAGTAATGTCTCCATTGGAGACTTTGTTGTTACTGTGTCTGGCATATCGAATACTCTCGGTAGCTTGCTGGGCTCTCCGAGAGGGGCGGAGGAATCGAACTCGGGTCGGCCATGTAAGTTCGCTTGTAAGGCGAACGCCCTACCCACTGTGCTATCATAGCATCCTTTTGTCTTGTTTAAGATTTAAAATAAATGTATATGATGATTGCAAGATGTCTGCTATAAATTAGGTGTTCAATACATATTTGTTAAATGACTGTGCTAAAATTAAGCAAACAGGACAAGACAATATTTCATATTCTCTCTGTCCACAAAGATACTTACTATACTCTCCCCTAAAGAATTTTTCACCTCATTTTGAAAATTACTGTCTTAAGATAAATCTTCTAAGGAAGTTAAATGTTACTTATGAATATATTTAATTTTTGGAGATCATTTGCCCTTGTATTTTGGGGATCACTCTCATCACTAAAGCTTTTTAAATTTATTTTATTTATTTGATTATTTATTGTCAGTTATTCAATATGCCAGACACAGTAACAACAAAGTCTCCAATGGAGACGTTACTGGACCCGCTCGAGCAAATCAACGATCAACGGGAGGGCCTTTACCTTTACCTTTATCCAAAAATTATTTTTCCCAGAAAGAAAAAAATGGTTAATTCTGTCAAAGTTAATAAATTGCAAATTCAGTGCATCTAATAAATGGTAAGAAGTATTTTTTCCTTTATTGAAACACTGTGGTTACAAAGTTGTCCATGATGTATATGTTACAAGCATTCAATATTCCATTACTAGTCCCACCATTAGTGTAATCTTCCTCCACCCTTGTCCCCAGTTTCCCAAAGCAACACTTAAGTTTGTCCCTTTAACAGGCACAAAATAAGTTATTTTATATTTGTTCAAATTAAATATCTAATGGAATTTTTTTTAAAAATACACCAATAAAAATTTTTTTGAAAATAAATTTATCTGACCATAGTGATTGTTTAAAAGTTAGCTACACTGTTCATTGGTAGTTAGGCTTTATGTGTTATTGTTTTTGTTTATTTAGGTTAGTTGGCTTCTATGTTAATTTCCCGTCTAATTTGATATTATGTGCGGGCAGTGTACTCTCGGTAGCTTGCCGGGATGTCAGTAGTATAGAATTTGGAGGTGTTGTGACCCTGCACTCCAGAAGTTCCAGAATATTAAATTAGGCCGGAGTTTACATGGTGGCCATTGGGATATAGATGAAAAGGCCAGGGCTGCTGTAAGCACAGGGAATGAGGAGAGGCTGCACGCCCCCACTTTAAGAGGACCCCAGAGTTCCCAGCTTGAAAACCTCATGCACCTGAAATTTTCAGAAGTTTGGCACAGCTCAGTGATGAGACAGAGGAGTTGGACCACTGGCACAGCAGCAGCTGTGGGGTGTGAGGGCCCCCCCAGTTTTCAGTCAGAAGAATGGTGTACTCATGGGAAGAATCATTACTCCATAAGGTTATGTGTGTTTTAATTTTAGGAAGTCAACATCTGTCCACTGTCCACTGTCCACTGTCCTCCCATTGTTCATCGATTTGTTCGAGTGGGCACCAGTAATATCTCCATTGTGAGACTTGTTGTTATTGTGTTTGGCATATCGAATATGCCATGGGGAGCTTGCCAGGCTCTGCTGTGCGGGCAGTATATTCTCGGTAGCTTGCTGGGCTCTCTGAGAGGGACAGATGAATCAAACTCAGGTCGGCCGCATGCAAGGCAAATACCCTACCCACTGTGCTATTGCTCCAGCCCCAACATCTATCATATAACAAAATCTCTATACCCTAGACAATGTTATATAACTGAGTTCATTAAGCAATATACCGGGAAATAGGAAACAATGATGATTTTTAAATTGGCATTTTCATTGAAATGGAGGTCTGGGATTCCAAAGTAATTTCAGAATAACTCACCAGTGTTATGTCTTTTTAAAGAAATTGTGTGTCCTGGACTCAAGTTTCAAATAGTAGTTCTGGGGAATAATAAATGATTGATTTAGTGGCTTAAATTATTTGCTAGTTAAGTAAAAGGTTGTGGGGCAAACCCTATGCTATTCACCTATACAGAGGTAGAGGTGGACCTGACAGCTCAGATTTTCTGCTAGAGATCCACTATTAGAGAAGAGACTGGAATTTAACTTATTGGATTATGGAGAATACAGGTCAAATATGAGTTTGAGTTCATTCTCTGGTGCCAGAGTAATTCTAACCAGTGCCTGGAGTCCTTAGTGAAGGAAGACAGGAAAAAAAAAAAGGATAGAAGTATAGTGGTTTTCAAACCAGATTATGTTGCGTATAGAAGACCAAAGTAAAAATGAAGTTACATATACTAAAGAGGTAATTATCAGCATTTTATATAGAAATCACATCAAATTTGATGTTATTATGTTATCACTTGTTCTAATTAGTTTGCCACTTAATTTGCACTGCACACCTTATTCCTAGGTCTTTACCATTTCAGTGTCATAAGTACTAAAGTCACTAGGTGGCACTATCTAACTTACTGAGAAAATTGGAAGCATGATTAGATTTTTTTTCCAACAAAGACATTGAAAAGTATATATTTAATGTTTTTCAAAGAGTCTAAAAATTATTTGAGTAGATTTAAGTAATGAAGATAATTTTTTGCTGGCATTCTATTACTAGACATGTGAAAATACTCTAACAACAGTGCTCAGACTTTTAAAAGCATCCTTTATATATCAGTTAATTTCCAAATGATGTATTTTTAAAATTTTTTGGATTGTTTTTCATAAGCTGTATAGTCTTATAAAGTTCAAATTGTATATTAAGGGAATAGTTTCTAATTAATTAATTTTAGTGTATATTATTATTATTATTATTATTATTATTATTTGCTTTGGGGTCACACTTGGTGATGCACAAGGGTTAATCCTGGCTTTGCACTCAGGAATTATTCCTGGCGGTTCTCAGGGGACCATATGGGATGCTGGAAATCAAACCCAGGTCAGCCGCATGCAAGGCAAACACCCTACCACTATGCTATCGCTCCAGCCCCTAGTGTATATTATTAATATTTTTATAGTTTTTAAAATTAAACTATAATAATTTTAAACAAAATGCACATTCCTCGTACTTTAACTGTAAGTCAAAAACATTTGATAAGTAAATTTCAATTTCTCCATTCATATAGTTTAAAGTAATTTTTCTTCCATTTTAACATTATTAGTATATAAGCATTTTTACATATATATCATATATGCCTTATTACATTGATACTTGTATTTTAATATATTTGAGATTTTAATATAGTTTGTATAGTTCCAGAAATCTCATTCCACTTTTATATTATATATTTATTTTATTAGTATATAAATTATGACTATATGCCTTTTACTGTTGTTTTTACAAATATGCATTTTGTGAGCTGATAGTGATATTTCAGGAGGGGAAAATTACATACCTTAAATTTTGTTTCCTGCATGCTTTACTTCTAATTTCTTGAGAGACATTGAAACAAATGAGTGAACAAAGTTAAATTTGCTAGGATTATACCTACATGTAAGCATTAAAGTAGAAACAGCACAATCATGAACAATGTTCTTTCAGACATTGGGACAGTCCTCAAAGTTGTCAGCATTTCAAAGGAAAAGTGGAATATGGAAGAAGTAGTACTAGAAGAGTTACAGATATTCAAGGTAAGACTCAGTACAGAGTTCTGGAAGAAAAGATGGTGACAATGAGTAGCTAAAAGAGTACACCTTTTTATTTTGTTATTTATTTCTTTAGTATATCATCACTTTTTCCAGAGAAGTTTTTGGAAGTAGTTACTTTATTTTACTTTTCCATGAGGAATTGGGAAAGTTTTAAAAGCAAATAAGAATGGGACTCAACTTCTCCTATAGAATATCACTGAATCTGGACTCCTGGGATTACTCCTCATTATTGCATTTTCTAAGCATATGGTCAGAAAATAGCCACAATAGATGAAAGCCTGAAGACCCTTATAATCCAGATGCTTTTCTACTTTATAAATTTTGATTTTCAATTTTCTTCATTTTAATATGAAAAAAATAGAACTGTGTATAAATCATGGGCTCTGCCTTTTCTGTGAAGAACTTTAAAAATGTAGGCAAAATAGTTGTATGGAGTTGTATAACAGTTAAACTCCTTGGATGAAGAGTCCCCTCACTCACTAAGAGCAAGCAGATTTATAGCAATTATTCTTCACATTTAGGGGATGTCTTTGAGTTTTAACAATGAATTGTTATTGTAGAATACTTGTATATCCTCAGTGAAACTAAATGGCAATAAAATAAGGCATAAATATGTATTCAAAGGATTTAATATATATATATATATATATATAGTGGCTTTTAAAATATTTTGTGGAGGGTAGCCTATAAAAATGGACCTCTTTCATATAAACATCCATTGCCTTTAGAAGAGTGTAGAGCCCTGCACCATGAGGGCCCCAAGTTAATTAACATGCTGAGTTCCACAGGATCCTGTTTACATTGTGATAATAATAGTGGTCAAGGAGTTAACAAGAACAAGACCTGCTCTCTGTTGTCTACCAAAAACAGAATCTCGGGTGGTTCCCAAAGGAAAAGCCAATTTCAAATATAACTATGAGTTCCAAAGGCCAAAAAGCAATCCCTCTACAACTCATAAAAGAACTTGAAAACAAGACTTACAGTGTTGTGTTAGTGGTCCCAAGGAATTGTTTGAATTCCTCTGTTACAATTAGTGAAATAATTCCCTTAAATGTCATTGAATACATTTTTTGCACTTAACTTTTTTTCCTGTCATACATTTTCTTACATTTTTGACATCTGCCATTGTCAGTTGGTATTGGCTGGTAAGAAAAGAATAATATATGGTAGATAGATGATTATATAGTTGGATTCCCAATTAAATATCCCATACCTTTTATTTAAGTCGCTTTGTGTTGTTGTTCATACTTTTATATTTGTTTAATTTAATCATGATTTTTATTATGGTTTGGGGCCAAACCTGGAAGTGTTCAGGGCTTACCCTTGTCTTTGTGCTTCGTGGTTACGCATATCAGACTCAGGGGACCATGTGGGATGCCAGGGAGCAAATCTGGGTCAGCCACATTCAAAGCAAATGCTTTACCTGCTGTACTATCACTCTGGCCCCAGTCAAGCCATGTTTTCTATGAATAAAACTGCTTCTAAACTGCCCCTATCTTGAAATCATGGGGGTCAGCATCCTATTGTATTCCATAAAGAACATGTTCACTCACAAGGAGCACTATAACTCTTCAGAATACAACTACTTGAGCAAGGTTTTGAACTACTGATACAAGTAAGAGCAGAAAGAGACAATAAATCATTATGAAGGTGTCCTTGTCAACACTAGTTTAAATTATATGGAAACAGTTTAAGCAGAAATAAGAAAAAGAAAAAACTAAGTAACTGGGAATAATTTTTAATTAAGAGTATTTCCTCAAGATATTCCAAAGTAACTATATTGATAATTATTATATTCAAATAACAATATATTTGAAGGAAATAAAATATTAAGATCCTTTATTTTTATATATAGTAGGGCTTTGAAATTGACTTCAGTGAACCCAGCTATAAGATAAAACAATATACTGTCTACTATAAAAGACTGTGAATGCTTATCTTTATTAAAGTTTAACTTCTCTTTTCAGCACTCATCAATCATCTTGAACATGGAGTTGTCTCTTAAACAGGTATTTTCTTTCTCTTTCTTTCTTCCTTTATTTCCACATAAAAATTAACTACAAAGGCCAACAGTTGCTAAATCAAATGTTCTTTTAGGAAAATCCATTGAAATTATAAACTAAATTATAAACAATATAAAAAGACTTAGATTTATTTTATAATGATTAGAGATCATCATTTTACCTTTGCTTTTGGAGAAAATAGGACCACCTCTCATGAATTAAATAATACATTCTACCTTTCATTTAGCTCTTCAAAATTAAGCTTGCTCTTTTAATCTCATGAGGATTTCTTTCTGTCAAAGCTGTAAGAAATGCATGTAAAATACTAGTCCTAATCATTAAAAATGGTTTTTAATCAAAGCATCTATGAATCAGACTATATACTGTGGTGGCAAAGAGCCCAAGATGTAATTCCAACCTGCCACTTAATATCTGTCTCCCTGAATCAATCTCCGTAACAATATAGTCAGAAAAAGTATATTCTATTAAGCCGGGAGCTGCATGCAAAATTCTGGTCAAGGAACTTATACACTTTAATTATGATGTAAGAGGTAGCTATCAATTATATTGGGTATTATTTCATAGCTTTCAAACATGATACCCACAATCTACTAAATCCAAAGTTATTCAAGAGATTCACACTTGTAATGCCATTTCTGTATATGCCTCTAAGTTTTATAAAAGTTGATATATATTCAGCATTAAGGTCACAATGGTATTTTTTTAATCTCCTATGTACAGTATATCTCAGGGGAAAGATCTAAATAGTTTTATTCCTCATATTTGCTCTTAGTTTACTAACCATTCAACTATTCTTAATAGTTTACCACTTAGAGAGCATTTGAATGAATGATATAGTTTTATTGTCTTGTTTATTTTGATGAGGACCACACTTGGTCAGGGCTTCCTACTACTGGCTCTACGCTCAGAGATCTCTGCTGGCTGCGCTAAGATAATTGAATGTGATATCAGGAATTAAACACGAGAGTGCTGTATGTATATCAAGTGCCCTGCCTGCTATAGTATCTCTCCCAATCCATGATAGAGTTTTTAACTTCCCAAAGCTCATGGAGGAACTGGGAGAAAAAAAAGCAGGCTAATAGTGCAGAATAATGATGGTATTATGTACTGAGTACATACTAGGGTAGGGATAGAATGTGAATACACACGAGAAGTAGAGATGAAAGAATGGTAATACATATACGGGAAGTACATACTAGAGATAAAGAAACTGGTTTAAAAGGGAACCGGGGGCTGGAGTGATAGCACAGTGGGTCGGACGTTTGCCTTGCAAACAGCAGATCCAGGTTCAATCCCCAGCATCCCTTATGGTCCCCTAAGCACTGCCAGGAGTAATTCCTGAGTGCAGAGCCAGGAGTAAACCACTATGCATCGCCAAGTGTGATTCAAAAATAAATAAATAAATAAATAAATGGGAACCAGGGGCTGGGATTGGAGAGATAGAACGTAGGGCACTTACTTTGCACATAGCCAATCCTGCTTCTGTCCCTGGCAGTCCGTATGATTCCCTGAACCCTCCAGGAGTGATTCTGAGCACAGAGTTATGAGTAATCCCTGATCAACACCAAATGTGTCCTGAAAACCAAAAATAAAAGGGAGACACAGGTAGGGAATCAGGAAAAAAAATAATTAAAAGAAGACAAATGTCAATGATGCTATGATAGATATTGAAACTAGCCAGATAAATTACAAGGGATTTGGGTTGGGATATGAAAGTTTATGCTAAGTATAAAGAGAAAGGCCTTGAAAAGTTATGAAGAAGAGACTATAGTTTATGTTTAGATAGAGCAAGGGGGACATTTGTACACAGGAGGAAGACAGATGTTAGATATGAGTCTAGGAAAGACAGAGCAAAGTTAGACACCTCTTTATGGGCCCTAAGAAGTTTAGCAGGTTTATCTACAGAAGAAGGAAACCACTAAAGATTTTAAAGCAGAAAGATCATGATAAGATTTTTCTTTTAAAAAGATATGTCTGGTGTGTCGCTGTGGTAGATGGAGTGAGTTCTGGGAGAGAGGTGAAGATTTCTGGAAAACAAGGGTCAAGGAAGAGGAAATTGGACACTTACAAGTAATCCGGGAAAGAAATGATAAGGACCCAAACAAAGGTCATGGCAGTGGAAAGGGATAGGTGGGGATAAATTAGAGAGTTCTGTAGAAGAGAATGGAAACATATGTGATGACAGACTGGATGTGAAAGGAAGAAGACCCAAGACAACTCCCAACTTTGGGTCTTGGGTTGCCTATTGAGGGCAGAAAAAGTATATTTAGGGGAAACCATCTTCTATCCACATTTTTGTTGTTTTAAAATCCCCTGAGTCTGTACACTAGAAGGCTAATGAAATGAGAATAAACAGTATAAAAACCTCCTGAGAGGAGAGTATCAAGGAGGATAACATCCTTCAGAGTAAAACACTACAGAGAATTAGGTAAAACAAATAATGGACAGTGCACATTACAGTTATCAATGAGGAAAATGTAATGGATGATAGAACTATAAGATTTATGTAGTTGAGTACACATTACATATAGTAGCACCTATTCCTCATACTGTTTCCATTTAAAGTGTGGAAGGTACCACTAAACTTGCCCAATAGTTCACTGCAGGAAAAGCTACGCTTACCTCTGTTATTTTCTTCCTGACCCCTTCTCTCAGCCCTGCCCCCTTTTTACTACCATAAATACTCAAATGGATATGTGCCAAAAGTAGTTCATTTTTATCAAGACCTATCTTCAAAATTTAACTTTATTCAATAGGCTTTTCAATATTCCACATAACTTATTTATGACTTAGAATCCCTCAGATCTCCTTAATACTCTTCATTATGATGTCACTTTTTCCTTCAGGGATCAAGTGCTAAATTAACAAATTAAATGGTTCACTAAAATCACACAAAAAAAGTTTATAATTCACTTCTCAGTTGCTGTCATATATTATAGGAGGAGAAAACCATCAGTGCTGGCTATCTAGCATCTGTGCTTGATATAATTTACCAAAGTGCATTTTCAACTTTTGAGAAAGAATTTGACATCTTAATTCCTCAGTCTAGCAGCTGGCTTTTGACCTTCTTAAATTACTGCCAAGGTTACATTAATTCTATAGAATACTGTCCATTCCAATATCAACATATTCAAATCACTATTCTGTCTAGGGTAGAAGTGATTGACTTATCTTACTCTTAAAAGTTACATGTCCATATGAGTGTTTGCAATGGGCAAGATACCTGAAGAGACTGATATAGATCTATGATTTGGTATTCAGGAAGGGGAAGTTCTTAAGACTAATCTGAAAGATGCTTCTAATTCATTTGTTTTGCCTGATTTGCAGCAACAATTGTACATTGGTTCCCGAGATGGATTTGTTCAGCTCTCATTGCACAGATGTGACACTTATGGGAAAGCTTGTGCAGACTGTTGTCTTGCCAGGGACCCCTACTGTGCCTGGGATGGAAATGCCTGTTCTCGATACACACCCACCTCAAAAAGGTAAGAGGCACAAAAGAGTTAACAAGAAGTCTTCCTTTTTACACAATGGTTAATATATGTGAATACTTTTCCTTACAGTCTAACTTACAGAGAAAATGTCAAAAACATGAACAGTGGTAAGAATGGTAGAATGAAAACATTACATCATTTTTAAAACTAAGTTTTGCAAAAAGTAATTAAATAGATTGTTCAGAAACTTTGAAATGTGGAATTTTAAAAATGTTATCAATTGTTTATATCTATTTCCTTCTTCTATGTTAAACATTATTGAAGTTTTTTTCTTCCTGTTATCAATATTCTTCCTCTCTCACTATTAATTCTAAATAATATACACATATACTTACTGCTTTGTAAATAATATATAAATATATGAGCTGGTAAAACTTTGCACAAAGCACTCTTCAGTGACTTAGTACAATTTTACTTTTGTTATAAAGTCTCTAACTTGTAATTTATAGCTACTAAGTTAGACTTACCCATCAACTGTTGCCGTGCTGTTTGTAGATCAAGGCTTTTTGTGCTATTAAAAATAATGCTATTTTGATTCAGCAATTTCTTGCAAGAAACATATTGTTCACAAGTATGGGAAAATTGCGATAAAGTAATATGTTAATATATATATTTCAGCCTTGTTTTCACAGCAAAATTATTAGAGACAACCTCAAGTTAATTAATATAACTGATGCTGCCTAATTATTTCATTTATGAAAAACTACTTTAAAAAGTAGGTTCCAGAAACACTTAAAAGTATTATTCAGTTTATTCTCCTGTACATGAAATGTTAGCAGTTGAATATAATATCTTTTTTTGTTGGTTTTTGAGCCACACCCAGAAGTGGTCAGAGCTTACATCTGAATTTCTACTCAGAAATAACACCTGGTGCACTTGGGGGACCATATGGAGTGCTGGGGATTGAACTTGGGTTGGCCGTGTGCAAGGCATGCACTACCCACTGTACTATATCTCTGGCCTCAATATATGGTATTATTTTTGTCTTTAGATCTTATTAAAAATTAACCACTGAATATATGCTAGTCCATTACTGAATATTATTTTCGTTTTGAAATCTCAATGCCATGACAAGTTTCAAGTTCTAAGAATCACAGATTATGTATATACAGAAATTTAGCTGTTAAAAATTAGAAAATATTTTATAATCCTTAAAATCTCTTAATATTTGGTAAGTATATACTTTAATTACAAGCTGAAAGTAAGAAGTGCCTAACTTCTTTTTGGCTAAGTCTAGACTCATCTTACTGAGTCTTTGGGAATGCTTTTCTAGAAGTTAAAAACCATGACTACTTATTAATTGGTAAAGAACTTTCACTTTGATGAATTGACCCCATTCCTTAAGCAGCCAAGATTTAAAAACATTCTTGACCTTATGTACCTATACTGTCATCATTTTTTTTCTCCTTGAATTTCCCAGGACGATATCTCTGATCTTACAGATATGTCACTGTGATGTTTTTCCTTATCTTCTACAATGTCCATGTGAGCCAAACTATGTGTAGGATAGATGACTACTTACCTGGTCAGCATTGTCCTCTGGAGATGTCCAAAATACCATAGATGATTTATTGTGTGATTTCTATTATCTTCTGTGTGGCAACATAAAGTATAAAATGTCCAAAATAAATGAAAATATTCTCTACGAGTAGACTTGGTTAGTTTATGTAACAAAGTATAATCTTTTAACAGATTTTCTCTTTTGCATATTAGTTGCTTTTTACCCCTAAAGGAAAATAAGTGACAATAATGAGCAAACCCATCATTTTTATCATAATTATTATTAATAGTATTATCACGAATGTTACTATCATAGTGACTAAAAAAAGGTAGCATTACTTCTTGAATTTTTTTCCTCTTATCAGCCATTGAGAATAACATCATCACTAAGGCATACAAACTTGTACTTTCTTTTCAAATAATGTTATATCTTATTGTTTAGTCAAAATTTATGTAATAACCCTACATTTGGTAAGGAGTTTGGACTTGTTTATACTTATCTATCTACTAACTGAAGTTTTTATATTGTTTCTTTCCTATGGTGGACTAATATAAAGAAGGTAAGTGTAGTCACTCCCATTTATGTATATTAAAAGCCAGATTATGTTTGTATTCAGTTGATTCTGTTGAAAACTTTGTTAATAGTCAGAGAAAACAAAAACTGTAAAAGTTAAATAAAATATGATCTTATTGCCAAAACAGGATTTAATCTGCAAGAACTCAACTAGTAGTATTATTTGAATTAATGTTAGAGGGCATGGAATATTGACCTTTGATTAAGTTGAGCAGCATGACAAATATAGTTCTCCTTTAGCCACTATTATTATGTTAGATGTAAACATTTTACATCCCACGTATCATGCTAAACGTTCTGAACAGTTTAATTTTTTTTCCATAGACGAGCTAGACGCCAAGATGTAAAGTATGGAGATCCAATAACTCAGTGTTGGGACATAGAAGACAGTAAGTATAGGTTAAAAGGCTTTTCTACTATTTAAAATGTTAAGCCTATTCTTTGTGTGTCTTTTTATTATATGACTTAAAGCATCTATTATATAGGAAGATCTCATTTTTGTGCTATGCTTATGCTCTGGAAAAGCAATGAGAGATTTTAAAAAATCAACCTACTGTCCACGTGCCTAAGTGAATAATACTTTGTTATATGATTATTTGTTTCATATGTCTTTTAAAATTTCTATATCCCCCTTTTTACTGTCTTATCTAGTCTTGTAAAGCTTGAAAACTGCTTTTAAAGATAAAATAGGATATAGTCCAAATATATGGACATTTAAATAAACTTAATGGGCCCTTCCCAGAAAACTCTGCTAAAAATGTAGGCATTTATTAGAAAGAAAGTTTTAGGTAGCTTATGCATTCTTTGTATTCATGATTTAAATTCACATATTCTTTCATTCAGTAAATATTATTAAATGCTTTCATGTGTATATAATTGTCCTGAGTATTATTGGAGACAAAGAAACTCTTAAGAGAGCTTATTATTCTTCAGGGAAATGCCATAAGGCATAATTAGTAACATGGGAGTTACTGAAAAGAGTGATCACCAAAGGCTGAAGTATTCACAGAAAATTTCTTAGACTATAAAAACTAGAAAGTTTGAGTCTGAATGGGCAGACTGGAGAACAGAGAGGCAGTGTGTTGAGTATGTTTGATAACAGAAAAAAAAATTTATAAAGGTATTATTCTACATCTTTTCTTACTTACATGGCTTCACTTTCAAATAGAAAATACGTTTACCCAGGCACACAGATACAGGTAGACACATGCATAAATACAATTGGAGGAAGAAAGCTGCCTTCCTTTACTGTCACTTGTTGCCAACTTGGAATTGGAAAAACAACTCAAGCTCTTTAAAATGATTTCTAATGTTATTTTTTGAAAAATTATATGAACTATATTTGGTCCAGAATAATATGACTGTCAGAGGAATTAGAGCTACAGTAGTAAACAAAAAAGGAAACAATATGTACATTCCTGAAACTTATATTCTGTGTGTGTGTGTGTGTGTGTGTGTGTGTGTGTGTGTTAGGGGAAAGTAAAGGCAAGAGCAAACCAAACAAAGAACACTAAGAACGTGGAAACTATATACTTATATTAGTTTATGATAAGCATTATAAAGAAAAGTATCTAAAACACAATTGTTGCCTGTAGTACTCAAAATTATTATTTTCTCTTCACCATATCCCGTTCTTGCTATCACCAACCCACTGCACACAAGTCTGTTCTAATCATCATCATCACTCAACCCAATACATTTTTTTTGTCAAGGTCACTAGCAATTTCCTCTTTGCAAAATCCAATGGCCCATTTTCAGCTCTAACTTTTGCTTAGTCTCTAGCTCCCTCCTCCTTGAAAGATTTTTCTGTACTTGTTTTCATATAGTGATGTGCTGGAACCCTGAACAAGCGCTGTATGGGTCCCATGAGAGTAGAATGCTCATATTATTTAGGAATTCTGTGAGATGGATTTAAATCATTGGTAGCTTGAGTCAACTATGGTAGGGTTTTGGGGTTTTTTTCTAAGAAATCTGGTAGGTTTTACAAATCAGGGCTTATTATTTTGTTCAGAGATGGTGTTTCAATAAATAAATGTTTCCACAATTCACTCCCTTCTGTTTTATCTCTTGCCTAACAGACTTCTGAGTATTCTTAACTTTTCGTCCTACGATTTCAATATCTAATCTATGCTTATTTACTCCTTAATGCCATAATGTGCATGTTATTAAGGAAATTTTATTTCCACATTTATAGTACAGTTCTAGCATTTCCTGAGTACCAGACTTGTCTATTCATACTTGTCTGTTCACACCTTCTTAGAAACCTCTTAGATAAATAACCAATAAGTTTCTCAAATGGCATCTAGGAATTGTTATTCTCTTCAAAACCTGATTGTCCTGTAAATGTTTCCATAAAAATAAAAAAAAAAAACTTTCAATACCTGGTTTAAAGATCACCCTTTAGGGGTCATCTTTTCATCCTCTTTCTTTAACATATATCAATAACCTTTCTGTACCTTCTTCTGGCTCCATAGCAACAACTCTATTAAATACTGTCACCTGCCTCATGTCAGCCTAACCAAAGCCACCAGGCCTCTTTGGTACCATGAAAGGAGTCCCTGCTCTCCTCCTGTGTTTGCCTCTCCACAGTCTCTCCCCCATTCTGTGTCCCCACTTAACTTTGGGTAGCCTCCAAGTCGTACTCAGGGTTCCCCTGGGACCCTTGCTAGCAATACTCAGCCAACCAGGCACAATTCAATGCTATGATCAGACTGTGTGGTACTTGGGGCCTGCAGTCTGGGATCACCAGGAACTCCTAATGGTGCCGGAGGCTTCCAGGGCTTGAGATCACAAAGATCAGCACATATTTGATGCCGGGAACCAAATCTGTCAGGCTCCTGGAAGGCATGTCTACTAATTCTTAAAATACCTTTCCAGGCCCAGAGTAGCCTTTATAAACACTTGAGTCACATCATAGCATTCACTAATGCAAAATCTTCGACTAGCTTTTAGAATTAATAAAATAATTAAAAATCTCCAATTTTTAGGATGGCCTAAAAGATTCTCCTGATCAGGTTTAGATCATTCTTGGAACCTCGCTCATACCATTGATGCATTAATGGCTCAATGATTCTCATTTTCCAAAAGCCCAGATCTATTTTTTGCCTCAGGTGTGATAGCACATGTGTTTTTTCTGTACAAGAACTCCTCTCTTCAGATGTCTGTATTGCTCCATCTTCACATCATCTAATTCTGTGCCTTAAGTGTTTCTTAGCATTGAAGCATTTTCTTGATCATTCCATATGAAATGCCTTTCATTCTTTCCACCCTTATCCTTAGGTTTGTTTATTTTCATTGATAGCTCATAAAACTGTCAGATACAATCTTCTTTGAATATCATTTATATAATTATCTTTTTTACTCAAATAAGCTCCCCAAGGGCAATGAATTTGTCTGTCACTGTTACTAGTTTACTCTTATTACCTTAATGGCAGTTACATATTACACAAGAACATTTGTTTAATGGATAGATGAAGAAAAGTATCTCAGGTGTATATCTTTTGAGCTTTACCTAAGGGCAAGTCAAATTTGATAAAGTGAGTGAAGTGGCATTAGGGAGAATTTACATAGATTAATTTAAGTTCTTGTGTTTCCTGTGCTATTGTATGGAATTTATATTTACCCTGTAGGTGATAGGGAGCTATTTCATATCTCTACAAAACACTTTTTTAAGTAAAAGCAATTTACACTGTAAATCATTAATAGGATTTTTCAAAACCTGAGGAAGAAATCAGTTTGGGAAATTAAAAATAAATTAAGCGAGAGGGCAGGTCAGATATGAATAATAGTTTGTAGTAAAGAAGAAATGAGGTAATTTGCTTGTGGCCCACAGTATACAATATTTCAGTTCATGTGGTAATGATGTTGCAAATAATTGCTAAGAGATAAATTATTTTTTTTCTTCCTCTGTTACTTTAACTGTTACATGCTGCGATGGTACATTATTACTGATGCTTTAAATCAGTAATGAATTAGATGACATTTTTAAAAAAGTAAACCATGGTTTTGCTTTAGTTGCAAATACGTAATATTAGTGATATTTTATGTAAGTATTATTTATATAATTTATAAAATATTTTAGATATTATTACAAAATATTATAATCTGGAAGACTAAAATATTCTCTTCAGAACTATTTTGCGTGTGTGTGTGTGTGTGTGTGTGTGTGTGTGTGTGTATGTGTATGTTATTGGGGTCACATCTGGTTGTGCTTCAGGGCATTTTTTGTCTCTGCACTCAAGGATCACTCGTGGTGGGACTCTGGGAATAATAACTGGTGTTGGGAATCCAACCCAGGTCAGCTGAGTGCAAGACAAGTGCACACTACAATCTCTGTATATGCTGTCCAATCCAGTGAGAATTGTTCTCATAAATATTTTTGGAGCAATAGCACAGCAATAGGGCATTTACCTTGCACGTGTTTGACCCAACCGATCTGGGTTCAATTCCTTCGTCCTTCAACATGAGCCTGGCAAGCTACCGAGAGTATCTTGCCCGCATGGCAAAGCCTGGGAAGCTACCTGTGACATATTCACTATGCCAAACACAGTAACAACAAGTCTCACAATGGAGACGTTACTGGGCCCGTTCAAGCAAATGAATGAACGGGAGGACATTCACAGTGACAGTTATTGTAGAAAACTTTTATAGCTTAAAAATCATATAATAATAGAGGTTCAGAGAGATAGTAAGCAGGTATGGCACTGATCTTGCACATAGCCAAACATGGTTTAATCCCCGGTACTGGTCACCTGATCACTACCAGTAGTGATCCCTGAGCACTGAGCTAGGAGTGTGTCCTGAGCATTGTTGAGTATGGCACCAAACAAAATTTAATTAATGAATTATAATTAGATATTAATATGTTTATGTATGTACAAATGGCTATATATACTTGTCTATATATGTGTGTATTATATACCTGCATAATATAATCAATATATAACATATAATATATAAATAATGTATTGGTATAACAATATATTACATATAGCATATATACTTTACTTAAAATGCAAACGTAAAGCCAGAATTGAAACAACAAATTCATTTTCAATTAAATTGATATAGTCACAGTCCTCCCGTTGTTCATCGATTTGCTCGAGCGGGCCCAGTAATGTCTCCTTTGTGAGACTTGTTGTTACTGTGTTTGGCATAGAGAATATCCCACGGGTAGCTTGTCAGGCTCTGCCGTGAAATTGATATAGTAATGATTTTTAAATAGTCACTGCTTTTTTACTTATTTGAAATATACTTTCAGTGAGCCTAAAATTTCTTTTTGTTTAGTTGATTTCACTTAACCTTTATAAAGCTGGCCAATTCTTTGACTGAGTCAGTCCAATTGAATTTCGTCTGAACTCTTCTCCCATCTCTTAACAGTCAACCTGTATCTTCTGTGTTTTTTTCCATGAATTCCATTGCTCAAGCAAACAGCACATCTGTCACTATGAAATAATGCTGTCTTTCACTTTCATGATGGCACTAGTAATCTGTCTGTGCATTAGTAATTTATTAACTGTAAAATCCTACCTATAATCTTGAATTGGAAGAGATAGTAGATAGATTACAGGGTTCAAATGGAATCTTTACACATTTTGAAGATTACTTGAGGTTAATTCATAATAGTGTCAGACTTAATGTTTGTCTTAATCATTGTGAATAAAGTTTAAATAAGTTCAAAGGAAGGTTCTTAAAAAGAATCTAACTATTTGATGATGTCCATTCATGCCATTTGCGGACAATCTTATGTGCTTAAGTTTAGGATCCACTTAGGTCTCTTAAGTTTTATTCTTTGGTTTATGCTTAAAACTCTAAGTAGGCCCATCTGCAGAATAGAGACATCTGAATATATGATGAAAAAGTGCATGTTTGAGCCAGACTGAGAAGCCGTCATTTTTTATTTGATCAAATTTGAGCTACAGATTTTAGATCACACATGGGACACAGCCTTTGGCTACTCTGAATGGAATGTGTTTCAGATGTTGCAGTTGATTTACGAGAATAAGGTGTCTGAGACACTGTTCCCTTAGCATCCCGTTAACTCGCTATATTTACACTGAAGTATTCTACACAATTTTGAGATTTTGATTACTAGATAATTAACTTGCTGTCATTGATATAGAATGTCATAAATGCTTTCTAGCATCAATATTTCTTAATGTTAGTTTTTATATTTTTTAACAAATTTATGGCAGAATTTATCTCTAAAAGTTAAGTAAATTGTCCTTCTCAAACCATCTACAATATTTAATGAAAAAGGGATTATATTGGAACTTTGAAAGTAAAAAGTATAAAGAGATGTTAAAGCTTTATTAAACAAAAGTGATCAAGTGATCAAGTATTAAACAAAAGTTTTATTCAACTAAGTCAAAGACAGAGATTCCTTGTTTAGAATTAGACCTTGTGACTTATTTTTTAAAAATAAATTGTAAATAGTTAATCTCTTGAAAGAAGAATAAAAATTTCAAAGTGTAGATAGAATTTTAAAAATCAATGGTATTGATAATATTTGACTTGTAGATAATAATATTATAACTTGAATTTCCTTTCTCTTTAATAATGTGTATGAATCTTTCCTCCATAGCATCTGTTCTAAATCACTCTATTTTCCCATTGTTTTTAAAAGCAGGTCAAGGTTAATCTCCTATTCCATGTTTGCTTTCCAGGCATTAGTCATGAAACTGCTGATGAAAAGGTGATTTTTGGCATTGAATTTAATTCAACCTTTCTGGAATGTATACCCAAATCCCAACAAGCCTCTATTAAATGGTATATCCAACGGTCAGGAGATGAACATAGAGAAGAGGTAAGTTAAAGACATAAAAAATATTCACCTTGAGGGAATTTGCATAAAATTTTAGTTGTTTTGATTTGAGAGGCATTTGTCTTTCAATTATCCCCCTATAGTCTCCTAATCACTAGTTGATACATAGGGCAGTAAATTTAATACCCAGTACAAAAGGTAGCAATATACTTGTTATCTTTGAATTTAATAGGCAAAAATGCACATGTTAATAAAATACATTTAAAAGCAATTTTAATATTTAAAAGTTAAAATTGTTGTCAAAATTTATTTTCTCAGGGATTGTCAGTATTTTAGAACAATTCCCTCATCAAAAATGAAACAAAACAAAAAAACATTTTCCTTCCTATAGAAATAGTTGAACTATAGGAAGGAAATAGTAACAATGGTTAAATTGTAACTCACACTGTGTTCAGTTAGATCAAAAAATAGTATATATTGACTTTGTATACAAATAAAAGTATCTGTATTATATGTGAACAAGTTGAAAAGGCATATGGATATATGTACTTTTTAATTCATATATTAAAATCAAAAAGAAGGAAAATATTAATATTATATTCTTCACTTTTTTCTGTTTTATTTCGCCATGTGCTATTTAAACATATCATAGAGGTAGATAGGTTCATATATATGTATATATGTATGTATTACACATTTGAGGTACATCGTTTAGTATGCTACTGAATTTAATTTGATAAATTTGTGTTTTCAGAAATCCTATATTAGTATTAATCTAATGTCATGAAATCAGTGAAATCAGACAGAATATGTATATTTCTTCTAGTGCCTCGGAGAAATCAATGATACTCAGTATAGAGTTAAAATAATCGAATATTAAACTAGATATACTATAATTAGTAATGGAAAAAGCACAGGTTTCAGAATTAGATGTCTGGAATTGAGTCATATTGCTAGTCCTTTAGACATATTACTGAGTCCTGTGGTCCATAATTTTCTAATATATAATAAATTCAAAAGTGAAGTTCAAGTGATCAAACACATATGATAATGTGAATTTCAAATATGACAGTTACTCACAAGTGTGAAATACAGATATGTAATTTCAGATGATCCTTCTTAGAGTGGATATGTAGAGTAGGAAGTATAACTGATCGAGTTCAGTTTGACTACTGAGTATTCAGGACTAGGCTGTAAATCCTCTAGTAGTCAAATTCACTGCATATAAGTAGGTGAACCAAAGGTTCTTGAAAATACCAGCCTCCTTGATAAGTCGGTAAACATTTAAAATAGTATATGAGACAAGTCAAACAGTGCTATGAAATAGTAGTTCTCAACCTCAGGTAGCTTTAGGGTGTATAATGCTTGGGCAACCAGGTAGATGGTGATAGAGAAACTTCCGACCTCTGGTGGCTAGAGGACAGCAGTGATAGTGACACTAAGCATCCTACAATGTATAATCATTTGTGATAGTGATACTAAGCAACCTACAGCGTATAGTTCATTTGTAGTAAAGAATTGTACCCCCTCAAATTTCAGTGGTAGTCCAGGTTGAGAAAGCTTGAAATAGATTCAAATTTTATCATAAAAATTGATACTGAAACACATATTGCCTTTTTAAAAAGTCAAATTTAGAATATGCTCCACTAAATAAGAAGTCAATATTCTCTTTATTGAAACTATATAAGAAATTTTCTATCAACATGTTGGTCTTTTTCAGACTTAATACCAAAATAATAATGCCACTCTTTCTTATATCAAATTTCTTCAATAAAAATTGTTTTTGCAAATTACTGCCGTGCATAAATTCTAAGTTTGTAACATCCATATTTATACCAAAGTTTTAAGTTCTTCATTTTGTCAGTGTATATGGAATTAATAACAGTCATGATTATTTAGTTCCAAATTTTTTAACTTGCTTAAAGAAATATTAAAGAATGTTATCTAAATATTTTCTGGTGCAGATATTTTAAATACAACATTTTAATATATCTTAAACTTCCCACCAGTAATTTTTTTCTTTTTTTTTATTGCTTTTCGGGGCACACCTGGCGATGCTTAGGGGTTACTCCTGGCTTTGCACTCAGGAATCACATCTGGCAGTGCTCAGGGGACCATATGAGATGCTGGGAATTGAACCTGGGTCGGCTGCGTGCAAGGCAAATGCCCTACCCACTGTGCTATCACTCTAGCACAGTGGTAGGGCGTTTGCCTTGCATACAGCCAACATGGCCGACCCGAGTTCGATTCCGCTGCCCCTCTCGGAGAGCCCGGCAAGCTACCGAGTGTATCTCACCCACACGGCAGAGCCTGGCAAGCCACCCGTGATGTATTCAATATGCCAAACACAGTAACAACAAAATCTCCAATGGAGACGTTACTGGGCCCGCTCGAGCAAATCGATGAACAACGGGAGGGCCTTTACCTTTTTTTTTTTATTATTAGTGAAATACCATGAAGTATAGTTGTAGATTTACAACTTTTTTGTGCTCGGGTTTCAATTACACAATGATCAAATACCCATCTCTCCACCAGTGCCCATTTTCCACCACCATGGATAATATCCCTCCCACCCCCATCCCTCCCATCCCACCCTTCCTCTGCAGCAGGGCAATCCCTTGTGTTCTCTCTCTCCTTTTGGGTGTTGTGGTCTGCAAAAGAGGCTTTGAGTGGCAAACATGTTCAGTCCATAGTCTACTTTCAACACGCATCTCCCCTTCTGGGAGGATCCTCCAAATACCCTGTATTTGGTGCTCCCTTCTCTATCTGAGATGCCCTTTCTCCTAGAATGCCCGGCTGGCCTCTAAGCTATGGAGTAATCCTCCCTGTGCTGATCTCAGCTATTCTTGGGTATTAATCTCATAGTTTGTCACAGTTTGGAATCTTTCTTCCACTCAAAAAAATGCCTGGGGGACACACCTGGATATCTTTGGTACAGAAACTGTGACCAGGTTATTCTCCAGGTTGGAGCATTTCTTTAGTGGAGCTGTTTCACAGTTGATACTATTGGGGAGGTCACGAGTCACAAATCTGCTGACTTTCTTGCCAAGCTGTTCTTGAAATAGATGATATTTATGTTGTTACTAGCAAGTTAATCTGTAGTTCCCAATCATCTATTGAACTTTTGAGATCTGAGAGAATAAAATAGACAGTTCCTTATGCAAATATCAGTGGTATATTTTATGAGGATTTCAAAACTCTTTTGATGCAATCTTGTCAATATTTGCATTTTTCTATTTATCTTTGTGTCTTTTTTAGTTCTTTTTGTTATGAAAGCAATAAAAATGGTTTTGAAAATATAGTAACACATAAAGTTTGACAGCTAGACATTAATAAACATCAATAGCTCTTAATATTTATTCTAGGTTTTCTTTTTAACTGACCAGTATACTGTGAACATTTTCCTCTCCTCAGTTTTTCTTAGTTTTAATTCTATGTTTCACATTCCCACCCATTTCATCCTAATGTCACAGTTATTCTTTCTTTATCCTTATCTTTACTTTGAAAAATTTTCTTCCTATTAAAAAAGAAAAGAAATTTGAGGCAGGGAATTCAAGTGGCCAGGCACACTCCTTGCGCGTGAGAGAACTTGGATTGGATTTCTGAACACGTGCCCCCTGGCAATGCTGGGTGTGACCCAGAGGGGACAAGGGAAAATATAATCAAGTATATATTTGAAATTCTTTTAAAATCTCATTTTCTTCGGACAAATATTTAGCAATAAAACAAGTGAACAAAAGGTTGCAGTTATAATTATAGCTTTTGATATACAATATCAAATGCAGTTAATTTCCTACCACAATAATGACTTTTCTGAGATCCGGAGGCAAAAACGGCATGTTATAATTTTCTAAAATCAATTCCAATTTTCTAAACACAAAATCATATTGTGTTACTGTCTATCTCTTTGAATATTGCCGATAAGAACTTGTCATCCTATATTTCTTCTATTTTGGTTCTGTGATCATACCCAGAGGTGCTCAGAGCTTAGCCCTGACTTTGCAATGAGGGATCACTCCTGGTCAAGCTCTGGGGATCATTTAAGCAACTGGTGCTAGATCCACTTCTGGTTAACTGCATGCAAGAAAAGCACCAACCCACTGCACTGTCTCTCCAGTTTCATGACCCTGTATTTCTTGACTGTCAGTTTCAGTTCACACAGTCACAGTCACAGTCCTCCCGTTGTTCATCGATTTGCTCGAGCGGGCCCAGTAACGTCTCCATCATGAGACTTGTTTTTACTGTGTTTGGCATATTGAATACGTCATGGGTAGCTTGCCAGGCTCTGCCATGCGGGCGAGATACTCTAAGTAGCTTGCCGGGCTCTCCGAGAGTTTCAGTTGTATTTAGTAAATTGCCTTACCTGTCATTTGCTTAATTCCCATTGATGTTTTTATTTCAAAATTACTTTATAAGTCTCATATGTCAATATATAAATTAGGTTTTTTCAGAAAATGTATATTTGTTCCTAACATTAAAAAGTTTCCTATTTTTGGTTTGGGAATATGACTAAAATTGGAGAGCATATTACTCCAATGTGAAGCCTTGAATTTGATCTCTGGCACAGCATGGCCCCCATGCATTTCTTAAAGTGGCCTTGGCTTTAGAAATACTGCCAAGTTTTTCTGACACACAATAAAAATAACAACAAATAAGAGTTTTTCTATCTTATGTAGACAAATATATTAATTTATATTGATGTTGTCTCTTGCTGTGCAGAGAAACCCCTTCCTTAGTGAAATAGCACTATTAATTATTCTGTTTTTATTATTTAATAATAATTGAATTTTATATTATATTTGCATTTTTCAAAGACATAAAGTAATTAGGGATGATTTCTGTTTAAATTTAACTTTTTTTTCCTCTACAGCCCATAGCAGTAGGCTTGGGGTCATTCTTGGTGGTATTCAGGGACCCCGAAGTACTAGGTATCACAAATGAGGCCTTTCACGTTCAAAGCATGTGCTCAAGCTCTTTGAACTATGTCTTTAGTCCTAAATCTTATTTTTTAAATAATATGGTAGCAATCATTCTTATCACTATTTTAAAATAAGTTTTCTTCTACATTTGATGAAGAAAGGAGATATTTTTAAAGTTCTTGAGTCACTTCTAAACTGTGTTGCTGCTTTCTCTGTGAAAGAACTGACAGGTGAATTATCTGAAAAGAATTACCATTAGGCTGCTATTATCAGAAAATGATGTCCCTGACCTTTACCTGCTGTTTAGTACCTACATGTCCTTTGTCCCTTTCAATGTTACTCTTCTCATTTTTAATGAATTGCCCTTCACTGAAGAACTACATTTAATATGACCAAATATATGATCCCTGTTCACATTAGCTAAATTATTCGACCCCAGATCAAGCATGGTTTTGATTTGTAAGGCTAAGCAGTTTTTACTTATCACTTCTAGAGTAGAAAAAGTCCATAACTTTAAATCAGTGGTCAGAGATTACATTATCTCCTGGTAGAGGAGCTGGATATTCTAAATTGACTGTGCTGACATTTTACTGTTGATATTCGGTTCTCATAATGTATCCCATTCCACCATGGAGTGAAAGCATTGCAGAGAATGAAAATGTAAATGAGGCAAATGTTCGTCAACCATTTAATTTCTGAGTCATAGATTTCTACCTCCAGATCACAAAATTCCTATGAAAGCAGACCAGTTTAATTGTATTTTATTAAAGTTGTCATTTAAAGATATATTTTTGAAATATTTGAAGAACAAAATACTTAATAAATAAAGGATAATTAGATAAGCCAAAGATAAGCTTACTGAAGCAAGCTTTTTATCTATAGGTGAAAAATAAAAAAAAAATATATGCTCCCGTGGTCGAAAGAATATAGAGAGTAAAGAAATGTCAAGTTTTTATTAAACTGAGTCCCATGTGGACAGTAACATATTCCAAAGAGCAAAGAGAACCAGACACCAGAGTAAAAACATAAACAGGATAGAGAAAGAGAATAGAAAATTTATAATGAAGTGTTGCATAATATGTGTGCAATCAAAGTCATTCTTGCATCCTGTCAGAAGATTAAAGAGAACAATAAAAAGTAATGAGTCAGAGCTGAGACAATCTCTAAAAGCCACATTAAATGCAGTTTCTACATTGGCAAGAATACCAGTTATGAAAAAGAAAGCTAGAGATAAAATGGAATCAAAGTCAACCCCCTTAGATTGTCTGGTTAATAACCATAGTCCATTTTCAGTTAAGAGAATTGCAGGAATGAATAAGCCACTCCAGAACATGGTCTCTCCAGCTACATAGCAGTAGTCTATAATGTTGTTGATAATACTTCACACTTCACCTTCAAAGAGCTTTACTTTTAACCCTCAGATGCAACCATATGTTATGTCACCAACTTGATAAATGGGAGACCAATCAGGGAAGATAAATGAGTCACCCAAAGAAACAGAAGATAGAGACCAGAACCGAAGCTTAATGTAGTACTTTTGCCGAAGATTTTTTTTTAAATTAACTCTTTCAGTTAACTTACTTAAAAGAAAAATATGCATGTGTGAAGTATGAGAAGGATGTATTGAACCTAATACATAAATATATTTCTTAATTGGTCCTGTAGAACACTGCAATTCAAATTCACATCTTTATTAGGCACGAGACATCTGTGGTTTCTGAAATTAAGTGAATTCAAGGATCATTTGTACTACACTCACATTTTAAAATGTCTCTGCCTTTATTATAATTCTGTTGTGGAGGCGGGGGAGAAATTCCATACCCAGCTCACTTAATGACAAAGTAAGGAAAACAAACAAACAAAACCCTGCTGGTGTGGATTCATTGTGGAGAGAAGGCAAAGCTGAAGACCATTCAGCCTCATTAACCAGGGATCTGAGCTGTGACCTGCCTGTGGCCTCCAGTGGTACCCCGCCAGCTGCACTTCTCTGGCACAGAGGGTGGTTGGCCATATACTTGTTAGTTAACTGGGCTGGTCGCCAGAGATGTTTCTTTTCCTTTTCTCATATTTCCAGCATTGAAGGGATTTTTCCTACATATTTTTCACATAAAGATGCAGAGTATAGTCCACCCACTGTGAATAAATCTAATTTAGCCGTCTTTATGCCTCCTGGATTTCCATCAACGAAAAGTTTGCAATACAGGGGCAGATGTGTAAACTGGGAAATCTTCCAGATTTCTGTATTGTTTTGTTGTTACTCTGCTTAATAGAAAGCCTCTCAACAATACTGCACATTAAATAAGGCTCTTACATTGGTTAGCATGTCTTTAGTTTTATTGAAGATAGGTTTCCTTTCAGACCAGCTATGGGCCAGGGGATTGCTTCATAATATAGAGAGCATCACATTTTAGGTAAGTCTCTTTTAGTTCACTGCATTTTCTCACTTGAAATCATACTACACTCTTATACTGTACAGAGGTATTTCAGATAGTTCCCAAAATTACACTCTAAAGTATCATATAAATACACACAGTATCAAAATTCAATCCATGGTTAGAAAGGAAATTCAGCTTTAAATGTTGCTACCTTCCCACTGTATTTCTTCTCAATTACAGTTCTAACTTCCAAAAGGCTGTATCCATACCTATCCAGTTGATTTTTAACAAGTTACTACTTCCAGCTTCCAATTGATTCAGGCTACTTCTTGGTTGTTATGTAGAAATAGCAAATTCCTTTGGAATCATTATTCCATTCTGCATTACAAGTTGTAGCTTGCAGTGAAGTTGTGTGTGTGTTTGTGTGTGTATATATGGTTTTGTGTGTGAGTTCTATACAATGTCAAAGTCACATTAAAATTCTGAAGATTTTGGATCAATTTTTTTAATATATCAACAAGAATCCTAAGTTTTCTTAAAAAGAAACAAAGTAGTTAAAAATTTCCAGTTATATTTCATTAAAGTAAACTTTCACATATTTTTCAGCAATTAATACCTAACCAAATCCTAATTTTTCTGTTAGACAAAATAGATGCAAACATGTGTCTTTGGGGCCTTTTCCTTTTTTCAACCTCTTAACTATAGATGACAGTATTCAACTTGATGACAGAGAGATGGGGAATGTATCTTTCAGATTCATCTAACTAAAACTATGTAGCCTGTTTTCATTTTCTCATAGCCCTCTCTGTTTTTAATTTATTACCTACATTTTTCCAATTCTGCAGTTGAAACCTGATGAAAGGATCATCAAAACTGAATATGGGCTACTGATTCGAAGTTTGCAGAAGAAGGATTCTGGGATGTATTACTGCAAAGCACAGGAGCACACTTTTATCCACACTATAGTAAAGCTGACTTTGAATGTCATTGAGAACGAACAGATGGAAAATACCCAGAGGGCAGAGCATGAGGAGGGGCAGGTCAAGGATCTGTTGGCTGAGTCACGGTTGAGATATAAAGACTACATCCAAATCCTTAGCAGCCCAAACTTTAGCCTGGACCAGTACTGCGAACAGATGTGGCACAGGGAGAAGAGGAGACAGAGAAACAAGGGCGGCCCAAAGTGGAAGCACATGCAGGAAATGAAGAAGAAACGAAATCGAAGACATCACAGAGACCTTGATGAGCTTCTTAGAGCTGTGGACACATAGTTATCTATTCAAGGAGAAGAATTTATCACAAAAATACGGTCTCCTGTTTTGTACACCTCTTGTACTAACTCATAAGAGCTTTCTATGGAGTTTTGCTAAGACTCAAGAACCATAAACTGAGTAAGGGTATAGATGATGAATATGGCATAGTAAGAACAAATCATTCACTCCTGTCAGCCACTTTCCCAAAAACTAAATTTGTACCAACAAAACATAGTACTTGATATTTATAAATGTAGTATGTTCTGGGTTTTAGAATGTGTTATGTCCTGTACATAACTGAATGAAACAAGTATCTAATTTGATATTGGAATAAGATATTTTCTGCCCCTTGCCTGGCCATTTGTAGTTTACCATGCAGTTGAGCTATATGAACTTTTCTTATAAACAGATAAATCATTCTGCTGTGTAACTGGCTGTCTGTTGCTAGGAATTTGAAGGAAGACACAGATTCACAAAGCTCATGTTATCAGCAGAAACCATTTACTCTCTTGCATGGTTTAGGAATTAGGAGGGATGTGTTACTTTTCCCCTATTATGGGGGCAATATTTAGCTAAGAAAAGCATTACTTTGTTGAGGGTACACATGCCCCTTTTCAGGGTTCCTAATGAATTTTCACTAGTGACAGATTAATATAGAAATGTTAACCCTCACTTTTGAGAATATGTGCGTTCTGCAAATATATACTGAGCTTTAAAGAGACAGAATGCTTAATAATCATTTTAATAAGATATGGAAAAACAATTTAGTAAAAGAAGACAAACATGATGTATACTGCATCCTAATAAGAAAGCATACAGATGGGATTTGTAAGAGACAGAAGGAAAGACAGCTATAAATTTTGGCTTTGGGGAAGGCTCATATCCCCATAAATAGGGAAAAACAATTGCAAATAAAGTAGGTGAAATGGAAAGTAGCTTTATTCACTAGAGTATAAACAATTGCCAAGTTGTTATCCATATGTTTTTAAAAATATGGATCATGGTACACTGCTAGTGAAAGTCTAATAAAAGGTAGATTTACTAAAGTAAAGAATGAAAAAATTATTTACAAACAATGAATCTCAGTGTTTGCTTTATCTCTTTAAAAAATATCATTCTGTAAATTATTTTCCTGTTTCTTTCTTGAATTATGCATTATTGGGTTTTATTTGAATGATTAGGGAAACTATATACATAAAGAGAGAAATGGCATTAGGTAAAAAATTGTGGTGGGGAGTGGGAATATATATTTGTTGAATAACAGAACAAATGCAAAAATGTTGACAACGGAAAGGGTTAAATTAACTCTTTGACATCTTCACACAATCTTTTTGCATTTCTGAGATTATAGGCTATAATTCAAGTAGAATTATTTTAATAATTTAATAATAAATAAGTCTGCTGCATGTAAAGTAAACAAACAACAAAACCATGAACATTCTCCATATTTTTATTAGACCATTCAAATGTCTCCATATTGACTTCCCTCTCAATATATATATGGTTTGTTTCTGCCTATTTAAGCAGGGTTCACCTTTTCTTCTTAGAACACAAAACCCTTAGCCTTTCACTGTTTTGCTTTTTCACGCCCTTTTTAGTGTGAAATGGAAAATTAGTCACTTCCTCACATGGAAGGGAGCTTTGCAGAAAACTAAATAGCAGACATTGTTTTGTTTCTCATGCATTCTATGTGTCTTGGGAGAAAAACTTATGAGATCCTGTCCAACTGATCAGAGGATAGCTCATCACAGACTTCAATATGTCTGTGACTACGTTTTTGTTTTGGTGCAAAACATTCTCTCTAATATTCATTGTATTTGCATTTCTTACTCATCTCAAAGTAGTAGTACTGATAGATGAGCTTAAGATTTTGACATGCTGCTCATAAATATTTTTAGATGTTTCGTTATAAGGAGAACTTAAGGAAGATCATTGGTTGTTATTTTTAGTGCAAGTCACCTTTAAAAAGTTATGCATAGTAATAGTTATCACAGGATCAGAGTGCTAATTGGATATCATAACAAGTGTTTTGTAACTTGATTTTCTAGGTTAAAATGTTATGGAAATTCAGAAAATTCAATGCAAATACATGAGAGCATCTTTTATTTCTAAAATATCTTTAAATATTTGTATATCATATAGTAATAATCAAATTATGGATGGTTTTGGGGTAGTTACATGTTGCTCAAATATTAGGATTTATTTGTGAAAATAAATTAAATTTTTATCAAAATATAAATGTCCAAGCCATTTTTTAATTCTTTCTTATTTTAGTTTCCAGACAAAATTTGGGGAATTTTGTTTACTTTGCATCTAATATTCTGGATTTTTGGATCTAAGAGTCTTTATTAATGTTAATGACTTACTTAAAATATATTTGAGGACTTTGTCATTTGGTGACAGAGTACAGGGCATATACAAAAGACAGAACAGTAGTAGAATTATAATTCACACTCAATTTCATTACACTTTTGGCTAAATAATTTTCATTTACAAGATTCTGCATGAAAAATAATCTTATTTTTAAATTTTGCCTTTGGCCTATATTTTGAGTTTCAATATGCAATTAAGAATTATTCCTGCTGAATTAATTACATAGATTCAACTGAAAAATATGTTTACAGTGTCAATCCTGTTTTTCAACATTATCAATCTTTCAGAGATAATTTCATTTCATCCAAGTATCCTCAAAACACTAAACTAAACAGGGTAATTAGTTCATATTTTAAACTTAAATGTAAGATATATTTCATAGATATAGTTAAAAATGGAAGTGAAAATATATCTTCCTTTATAATTATCATGATTATCTTGAAAAACATGTTATTGAATAGACTTAATGGAAATTAATAGTTGAGAAGAAATGATATTCAAAATTTTTTATAGAAATGTTTTTCTCAAAGTTAATGGCCAAAGCATTTAAATAATTGAGCTTACCTCTGACTTTAAGTTTTAAAATAAAGTATTTTCTGACTTTACATATTGATTGTATAAAGACAGGAACATGTGCATGGGCTTATACCTCTCATTTACATGTTTTGTAGTGTGAAGTATTTATGATATGCTTTAGATAGATAACTTTTGGGAAAAAGGGCAAAAAACTTTTAATTTTGTAATTTAATTTTGTTTTTTTAAGTGGTTATCAATTTTGAATTTATAGTTTTATTATAAAATATAGTCTTGTGATCTAAAATAATTGAAACTGTTAAATGTATATTTTGCCTGTCTTATAATAATAAAATGCAAACATTAATTTTCAATGGTTATAAACAGTATATTAATCCATGTGAAAATTTTGTTTTAAGAGCTGACATATGGTAACAGAATTTTATGTAGAAAAAAGCACTAAATCAACACCAATACTAAAAGTGTATTTTCTGACATTTCTTAAGAGATACATTTTTTTAAGTAGTTCGGGCATGGACCAATAATAGAATGAATAGGGTGCATGCCTTTCATGTTATTGATCTGGGTAGATCTCAGAATCCAGTCGCTTTCCCAGTATGACCAAGGGTGACTTCTGAGTGCAGAGTTCTGAGTACAGAGTCAGCCCTGAGAACTGCCAGGTATGTAAACCTAAAATAAAATAAAAATAAAAAACAGTCCCAGAGATAAAACCTAGATCCTCTCACATAACTGTCACTGTCACTGTCCCTGTCCTCCCGTTGTTCATAGATTTGCTCGAGCGGGTCCAGTAATGTCTCCATTAGAGACTTTGTTGTTACTGTGTTTGGCATATCGAATACATCACGGGTAGCTTGCCAGGCTCTGCCCTGCGGGCAAGATACTCTCGGTAGCTTTCTGGGCTCTCCGAGAGGGGCAGAGGAATCGAACTCGGGTCGGCCATGTTGGCTGTATGCAAGGCAAACGCCCTACCGCTGTGCCCTCTCACATCATTAGATACATTTTCTCTTAATGTAAGTATATAATAATTTCCTTAGGGAAGGGAAAGAATCAGTATTTATCCCAGTTATTATAGTGATGTTGTTGAGCTGTACTGTGATTTAGATTTTTTTCCCCTTTGTTTTGGGAACCTACATGGGAGTGCTTGAGAGTTTCTCCTCACCCAATCCATGAGATCAGTCTGTGTGGTACTTAAGGGACCATGCAGTGCTGTGGATTGAACTCAGTATTGTGGCATATGAAATATTTACTTCAGCTCTTTAAACTATGATTCTGACTCTGTGATTTAATTTGTACTTTGGTAAACAAAGATAAATATTTCTAACATGCACCACTGTTTCTAAGATTTTCAATTTCCATTCAATATCTGATCATTTAAAATACATATATATATATATGTTTACCAAGACATACATCACCATACATTATTAAAGAATCAATTAAGATCTCTATTTTGTTTCTGCTTTGTTGTTCTCTTTGCTGTTTCTGGGACATATCTGATGCGCTTACTTTTGGCTTTATGCCCAGGCTTCATTCCTGGTGGGCTATGGAGATTATATGGAATGCCAGGGATCAAACCTAGGTCATCTGCATGTAAGATAAATGCCCTACCTATTGTACTATCCATATGTCCCCATATTTTTGCTTTATAAAGACACATTTAGGAAAATATATATTTCTTATGCCAATTTGGAGTACAAAGCATAATTCACATTAGAAAATACATATCATAATGACCTCATATCATAATGACCTCATATTTTATGACAATGAAATAACTTGTAAAGATAATGTAGAGAAGTGGTAGTGCTCCAGTGTCAATATTAAAATACATGTTATGCCAAATATATAAATCTCAAATGTCAAGATTTTTAGCTCCAAATATAAGTTTGTACAAATAATTAACTTATAAAACAGTGATTTTATGTGTCATCTTTAGTGACTCCATAATGTCCAAGCTCTTGTTGTAAACAAAACACAGCACAAGATTAATGATGGATCAAATTCCAGATAGAATTGTTAGGAAACAAATCTCAAAACAAAACAAATAAATAAGAGTTCAATTATTGTTTTTAGATTCAAAAATATAACTACATCTTGCTAGTTGCATGGCTTTATGATGATGAAATGCTTGCTTAGGAAGAAAAAGGGCTAAAATAATTTACTAAAATAAAATACAGTAGTATTTCAGCTAGAGACACTTTAAATATATATATTATTGAAATAAGTGTAACTTCTTTTTTCAAGTTTCTTAGAGAAAAATATAGTTTAATTTTGGTGTTTCTCTTTTCTAAAGAAATTATATGTATGTATATATCATGCATATTACATATAATTGTAGCACTGTAGTACTGTCCTCCCGTTGTTCATCAATTTTCAGTAGGCACCAGTAATGTCTCCATTGTGAGGCTTGTCGTTACTGTTTTTGGCATATCGAGTATGTCATGGGTAGCTTGCCAAGCTTTGCTGTGGCGGGCAGGATACTTGCCAAGCTCTCCAAGAGGAAGAAAGGAATTGAACCTGGGTCGGCTGCATGCAAGGCAAACGTCCTACTTGCTGTGCTGTCGCTCTAGCCCTACATATAATTGTAGAAACTAATATTTAAATATGAATATTTCCCAAGCTGGGTATTGAATTGTGTTTTAAACATTATCCTCAACTTAGTTATTGTTTCTTTAATTGAATAACTGTGAGATACACAGTTACAAAGCTATTTGTGGTTGGGGTTTAGTCATACAATCTTCCAACAGCTATCCTTCCAGGTGAGTATACTTTCCTCACCACCAATGTCCCATATTTTCCACCAACCCCGCCCCCCGCCCACAAATGGACCTCTATGGCAAGTACTTCTCTCTCTCTGTTTTTCTGTCTTTCTCTGTCTCTGTCTTTCTGTCTCTCTCTGTCTGTGTCTCTCTCTGTCTCTGTCCTTTCAGCCTTTATGGTTTTCAGTATAGCTACTGAGAGGTTATATTTTTTCCTTTACCTACTTTCGGCATACAGAGTGATCATTTCAAACTATCGTTATTTATAGTTGATCCCTTCCTTCTCTATCCCAGCTGCCTCCCCCCCAACACTTGAGGCAGACTTCCAACCACGGGCAATTCTCTTGGCCCTTGTTTGTACTGTTGTTGGGTATTAATCTCATACTATGCTTTTCTATATCTCAAAACTGAGTGCTGTCAATGTCTGTGCCTCTTCTAATTCATTTAACTCAGCATGAGAGCATGCCCATCCATTTAAAAATGAATTTAGTGATTCAATTTTCCTGATGGATGTTTGGCATTCCATTGTGTAAATGTACCATAGTTTCTTTACCCAGTCATCTGATCTGGACATGGAAGTTGTTTCCAGATTCCAGTCAACATAGTTCTTTGAGATTGAATATTTTCATAATAAAAAAATAGTTGAGAATCAATCTAAAAAATTAACATAATGATCAATTTTAAAGAAAAAGAAAGGATAATGCATTGGACTATTAAATATTCAGCAGTCGTATTAAATGCAGCTTTCAAGTTCTAACTTCATTGACATCATAGATAATCTTGAATACAATTATTATTAGAAGAATTACCAGCAAGGACATTGGTTAGTCTCAGGAAACTTGGAATAATGTTTGATTTTCAAAGCAACCCTTATTGTTTTAGAAATGCCCACAGTGTCTAAAATAGCTGGAAAAGTGTGCTCAATATGCCCAAAGATTCCAAACAGGTGATTTTTCTTTTTTCTGAATTGAAAACTACTTAAGGTTTTATCGCATTTTTTCTATCAAATGTATAAACCAACTCATATCCTTTATGTAACTTAAAGAGAGAAGAAACATGTTCATATATAAACAAAAACAAATGCTTTAAATGATCCTACAAATCCTGATCTCCACAGAAAAGATTCTACATTAATATAATTCACATTTCTAATTTCCCACGGATGCTGTCTTGCTTAGAGATAGGCCAAAATGTAATAATGTTTGTATTCTATATTAAATCCAAGTAGATGTGTGCAATTTGATAGGAAGGAAATGAGCAAGATTTTGTTCCTTGATTTTGTTGGGTTTTGCTAATGATGAGTTAGTATAGGAAAGTATGTGTTGCAGAGATATGAGCAACATATAGAGTCTTAATTTAACATACACAAGATAGGAATTGAAGAAATAAAACCAATTTACCAGATTGGAAGCTACCTCTTATAATTACGAAAGGATTGTTTAATGGGCCATATCCCTCTAAGCATTTAAGGTATTTAAACAAGCTACTATTTGGCAATTGAGTCTAATTTTTTAATTGTGTTATAATTGTATCCCTTTCCTACAGGTCATTTTTACTATCAAAAGCAAACAAAACCCAATCTCTGGTGGCAATTTGTTGTGGTATAGAAATTAGTCTTTATACACGTTTGGATGTAGTCTTAAATTTGACCACAAGCATAGTAAAGGTAAATCTTACCTAACAGGTATAG